TGCGCCAAAGAGCTCGCCTTGCTCACCACCAATGCCTTTGTTCCCTCTTGTCCGCCACTGCTCCTCTTTCTCCCCACCTCTCCGATCCATCCTTCAACCTTGGTAGATGTGGATTACGATGCAGTCGCCAAGGAAGTAGAGGAACGCACCGGAAACGAGGGCGAGACAGTGCTGTTTGAGGGCACAACATGGCCCCTGTGGTGCTTGTCCCCGCTCTTCTGCTCCCCCATCTCATGGCGCATCTCCAGCCAGCGCATCGACTGGGACCATGGTTGCTGCGCCATGCACAGTGATAACATTGACCTTCGCCGCATCAAGGACATGGCTTGCCGCCGCAACCCCATCCAAACCTGCCTGGGCCGTGCTACCATCTACATCTACACTGATGCCAAGGCCTCAAACCCCGTCATCAAAATCTCAAAGTTTGGCGCGCGAAAGCTTTACCGCCAGCTCGTCCAGGTGTGTCGCACTCTCCTCCCCTTGACACTGGACCAGCTCGAGCCCACACCCCAATGCCGGTCTTGTAACTCTGATGCCACCTCATTCGACTCGGCTTGCCCACTGCCCATTTTGACCATGCTTCCGAATAGAAATGGACCGACTCTCAGGCCTCCGTGACTGGCTAAGCCAGACCCATCCCTCGCCCCTGACTCTTGTCGCATCGAGTCTAGGCACCATCGTCTGTTGGAGCACCAACGATACTTTTTGAAACAACTCACCTCGTCACGACCCGCTTCTACTTCTCTTTCTTCTGTGTTCCCTCCCCCCTCTCTCTCTATTTTGTTGGAAAACAAGTCGTTACAACCAACGGCGCCCAGAGTTGGCTAGCTCCCTTCACAGGTGCGCGCGGGCTGTGTTGACCAGCTTGCTCGATGCCTGTGGGGAAGCATCGTTGGGACTCGGCTCGGGCTGGTTGTGTGTGTGTTGCTCTCGAGCTTCCCTCCTGTCTTGCATTTTGATTTTATGTGTTGCTTGTGCCTTTGCTTCTTCGTCTTGCGTCTTTGCTCTGGGAAAGAAAAGCAGAATGTTCATTTTGACGCAGATGAACTGTTGCCCCCTGCCGGGCTTGCCTTTTATCCCTTCTACCTCCCTCCCACCCAAATATCTTTTGCCAACACGTCAAAGAAGACAAGCAAATTGTACTCTTCGGGATGTTATTGCAACACACGCATAACAGCTGACATTGGCCGGATGCTTTGCGTATCAATTTGCAGCATGCGCACACGCTGGCCCACCTCATGCGGGCGAAAAAGTGGCATTCACAAATAGCAACGCCAACTGTCAAGAAACAAAAGTAAACTAAGAAGATGTTGAACCCCCACGAATCAGGCAGGTTCATGTAACATAAAATCATAATGAGAGAAAGAAAACTGGGAGAAAGCAAAGTCACGAACATGGTTCAGCAATGACCCCCAAATCAAACGATTAAAAAAAAAAAAAAAACGCTTGGCACACAATATCAAAGAAAAAGAAATCCCCCTCAAAAAGGTCTACTCATCGGCAAGTTCATCCTCGTCAAAGGCATCGAGATCATCCTCGCCCTCTTCACCTTCGGCATTGACGTTGAGATAACCGTTGTCATCACCCGAGTCGTCGCCTTCGTCAAATGCATCATCCTCATCCATGGCGGCAAAAGCATCGAGATCGTTGTCGGGCTTGCGCATTTTAACAGTGTCATAGGCAATGTCGGCACCTGTCTGGGGCATGTCATCCAAACCCTCGTACTCGGGGCCTTCGTCGCCTTCGTCTTGGCCGTCAAACGCATCATCCCCACCATCAAAGGCGTCGTCTTCGCCATCAAAGGCATCCAGCATCTGCTGCATGCCCGGATCATCATCGCCATGCACATCAAGGTAACCACCGCCAGTGTCGTCGTCGCCATCAAAGTCATCATCGTCGACTTCCAGGAAGTTGGCTGCAGCCACGCCGTTGCTGTATGGATCCTCTTTGCCTGCCTCATCCAACATATCGTTGGAACGATAGACGGGGTTATTCTTGCGCTTGGTTGCAATGGCTGGTTCGTCATACAAGCCCTGATCCTCGCCTGAATCATGAAGCAGTTCGCCGTAGCTCGCCTCGGGACCCTCGGGGGAGTCGTAAATTGGGTTCTCAAAGCTAACCACTGAGCGCAAGTGGGCTGGCTTGGCCATCTCGGGCGCGGCGCGGTTGTTGCGACGCGAACGAACCAGGAGGAACACCACGACCAAGACCAGCACAACTGCACCAGCTGCAATGCCGATGATGATGCCCATGGAGCCACCCGCTGACGACCCCGATGAGGCCGAGCCCGCTTGGCTGGATGTACCCTCGTCGTCATCTTCATCGCCGTTGTTGTTGCCGTTGCCGTTGCCATTATCGTTGCCGTTGCCGTTGCCGGCGCCATTCGTGGAACCAGAGTAGTCAGCCGCAGCCAAGGCTGCGGCAATGGCAGCGTTGGCGGGGTGGGTGCTGGCTTCGTCCAAGCTGCAGTCACCGGTCACACACTCAATCACCGTCCAAGCGGCGCTTGTCGCGGCAGCCTCAAGCGCGGAACGCGATGTGCTGCTATCGGCGGCGATCATGTCGGCAATGACGCTGTTGACGGTAGCCAGGAGGCAAGCCTGGTCGATGCCGTCGTCAACGTCATAGCAGGATGCAGTTTGAATGGTAAAAGTTGAGACGGCGTCGTCGGCCATGTCACCCAAAAAGGTAAACATGTCCGAGCCCAAAAGCATCGCATTCGGGCAGGCAAACCCATCCGTGACGCCCGTACAGTCGGCCATGCGAAGGCCCTCGTAGGTGAGAACGGCACGAATGACGTCCACGGCCTGTCCGGCTCCGGTAAAGTCACGGCGACGGCGCGACTGCTCCGCGAGCCACGTGTCTTCCCGAATCAAGCTGAGCTGCAGCGAGTCAATGCCCATGATGGGCAGCATGTTGGTGAGGGTGCTTGAAATTCGTGCGGTGAGGCTCCCCTTATTGCGCTCGTTGAGCATGCGTCGGATGTCAGCCTGGGGCAAGGCCTGACCGAGGACCAAGTCGAGGGTAAAAGTGTCAAAGGTCCAAGTGTTGGGATACCAGTTGTCAAAGAGTGCCTCGGCTGCGGGCAGGGTCTGATGCAGCGCTTCGATAAAGGCGGTGGCTGACAAACTGTTGGGAGCTCGGTTGTAGTAGGCGGGGAAGGTGCGACTGAGATCGGCCAGCGCTGCCTGGACCTCAGCCTCCGTGTGGTTGTCTGCTGGCTGGTAGTGACTGGCGTTGAGAGCAAAAGTGCCAGCACTGCCGCTGCTTGAAAACGCTTCATAGGCAGCGTTGAGCTGGGTGAGCAGGGTTGGGGCGTCAACCGTGCTGACGTCCACCACTGAGGCCATGTGGGAGCAGAAGCGGTTGTAAGCGTTGTCGCACGCCGTGCGGGCGCTGTTGTAGGTGGCGGACGCGGCGTTTAGCGGGCAATCGCGCAGAGTGGCAGTCAAGGGCATCCAGATGGCCAGAGCCAAGCGATCGTCGCGCGAAGTGGTGGGAGGGTTGGTAAAGGCCACGTTGTATCCCGAGGTCCACACATCAGCGAGCTCGGTGGCCGAGCTGGGCTTGTTGAAGAACCAAGTGGGGGCCTCGATGGTGCCGCTGAATTCAACGCTACGGTTTGAGTTGGACACATCCGTGTTGATGTTGAGGACGCGCACGGTGGCGACGCTTAGCAAATCGGCAAAGGATGCCTGAAGAGCGGCCGTCAAGGCTGAGTTGTCCAGGCTGATGTCCGTGCACTGCAGGGCAGTGAGAAGGGCGTTGGCGTCGAGGATGCTGCTGTCAAAGTCGTTGAGGTTGAAGGACACGACAAAGTTGTGGGCGGCCTGAGCTTCAAAGCGTGCGATGCTGGTGGTGGCAACGGCACGGGCGCGAGCGCGCAGTTCTTGGTCCTGCTCGAGAAAGGTGTCGCCGCTGGCAGGGCAGGAGGTGTGGCAAAAGCACTCGGCCGTGTCAGGGTCATAGACTCGGGAATCGATGCAGTGTTGGTTGTCGTCAAAGTAGAGGCGGAGGTGATCCCCCTTGTTGCCGGGAGACAAGGTGAAGGGGGGCAGCGAGGTGACGTCGGTGGTTTCAATGTTGTTCCAGACGATGGAGCGGAGCTCGTTGACGCCCGGGGCCATGACGTGATACGAGTTGGCGGGATCAAAGACGGCGACGCCCGAAGCGCATGGGGGAAGCCTGGCGGCAACCTCAGAGGGCTGACCGTAGTTTTTAACCCAGTTCTTGTGGCAATCAAGGCGGCAATTGTCCGTCTCCGTTTGGGCGCCCACCCAGACGGCCGAGCCCTCGGTTTCCTCCTCTTTGTAAAACTCGATGACGACGTTGTTGGCATCCAGGGTAAGCTGGCCGTTCTCCGGCAGCACCAACATGTTCATCTGTATGCGGGAGAAGCATGAGCGGTTGCGGTCAACAATTGAGATGAGGTCGAGATTAAAATCAAAGACATGGGGTTGTCGGAAGTTGATTGATCCCTTGGTACGCCTGGGCCTTGGGTGGCACGTGAGGCACGTGAACGTACAGCGTACGGGGTGTCAGATTTGACCAGTGAATTGACGGGAGTGTAGTCCTCGTTGTCAAGTTCCGGACCAAAGTACGCCACTTGCACCGGCGTCTCGCTGGCGGAGTTCATGGTGGGGGCTGCGGGACTCCAGTTGTCATTGTTGTTGAAATTGGCTGCCACAGATCAAGCAAACCAAACACATCCGAGGGGTGACAGGCGGTTGACGAGGAAGAGGAACGAAAAAAAAAGATCAAAAAAGTAGAGGTATGGAAACGTCGGGGTCAGGAGAGTCATTCGAGGGCAACGATGGAGAAGAGATACATACTGTTGCAGCCAACCCAGTAGAATTGACTCTGGGCACGGGCGGCAGGCAGGGCCAGTGCTGCAAGAAGCAGTGACAGGGCCTTGAAGCAGACCGCCATGGCACCGGTCGCGAGACTCAAGGCTCCAGTTGAATTGAAAGAAACGCGATGAATTAAAAAAAAAAGGGGTGGGGGGGGAAGGGGGGGTGATAAGGGAAGGCAAGAGTGCCCAGTCGCCGGCTGCCGTTTGTTGTTGCTGCGACGTCGGCACCAAACCAAAACAAACCAAAAAGGATGAGAAATGCAATACAAATTGAGCGCTCCCTCCTTTCCCCAGTAGTAGGTTGACCGATCCATGCACACGACGTGTACCAACTGTACCATGTGCCATCTCCCCGTCCCGCCCCAGCCACTGGCTGACCACCCGGCTGCCATCTCAAGGCCGGGCGTCCATCATCTCGTGCCACTTACCCCAAAAAATCGGCTTGAAACCGCTCAGGATGAAATAAAATGAAAACCCCCTATTCCGTGTACGGCTGCTACATTAACTGGAAATAAAGCTGCATTAAATTGTATACTGGGCACACCAAGCTGTATTTTATCTGCAATAAGCTCCAAGTTTTTACTATATAATTGCTTATGTATCTACGATATCTTGATATTTTGGTGCAATTACCTGTATGTAAATATGGGATTGCTCATCAGAAGAGCTGCTATAACTATATAGTATGGACGGAAGCGGCTTACTTCAATAACTTTGTATTTATATTCACAAAGTCAAGCTTGATCCCCATTGAACTCTACACCAACTAGATTAAATTGGTCGTAAGCTTCGTACACTCATTATTCGCTCACCATCCGCAGATTGTGTGTACACACACAGAATGTGGACGCTGATCAATATGTAAAAGTGTGACCGTTATCACACTTCTTTTTTACAAAGACGCTGAAAGTTGTGCTGTTGCCAACACCTGTTACTTACATCTTTTTCTCCGCACCATGTTTATCAGCATGTCAGACAGATGGATAACTTTGGCTCCGCTACTTTCGGACGTTTCGTCTAATATTAGGAGCATCAAGTGCGGACATTGAAACGAAGCTGTTGCTGCTGCTGCGTATTTTTCTCTCCAAGGCCTCCGATGGGGTGACGTGCGGGGCTGTGCGACAAGGTCTTTTTCTCGGTCGGAACTGCGGATGGCGTGAGGCTTGGACTTGTCGGTTTTAAGAGCCGAATGCTCTGGCAAAAGGACGCAAGGTGATGAACGATGAGTGTGGGTGAGGACACGGCAGTCCTGCACCTGGATGCAGACAGGTATGTCCGTGCCATTTTTTATTTTTTTTATTTTTTTCCGTCCCAGTCTGCATAAAAGGCCTGATGCGCTGCTTTTGCACATCCTCGGGTCAAGCTTTTTCTGTCAAGTCGAGTGCCAGCGACGGTCCGTCGACTTTACGCAGCCCGTCGCCGTCCAGCAACACCAAGACATTATTTCCCTCAACCCTCAGGTACGGTAATTGCGGGTTAATTTCTCACCCAGCAGCAAGCCCTCGTGAGCTCATGCACATGGACGGGCACATGGACGGGCGCCGACTGACGCCTCCTCCACGTTGTGCCGCATTCAGGCCAAGGCCTTGGGTGTGCATAAGCACATGAAACCAGCCGAAGCCCGAAAACTTCTTCAACCTGTCGCCGGCCACCTCCTTCATGTTTTTGCCGGTACGGCACAAATCCCTTTTCCTCGTGTCCCACAAATCACTTTTCCTCGTGCCACTGGGACCGAACTTGCAGCACCGGCCGTTTTGCAAACCAATTGCTTTTCGCTGCTTCTGCCCAACTAACGCACAGCGCCATTGTGCGCAGAAACTTCGGGCCGTGTTTCCTATCGGCCCTATCGCCTCAAATCGCGTGAGCTGGTCGCCGTGATTCGTGCCCAGCTGGCTCCCAGTGACGTGCTCGAGGTAGCCAGGTGAGTGCCCCCTCGGCCATTGACTTCCCTCTACTCTACTCTGCTCAGACGCCCCAGCTCTCTGCACTTGCCGTCCACCCCGCTTCTCGCACTGAGGAACCCGGTCTGGTCTGAGTGAGCTGGCCTGCCCATCCTCCCATCTTCGTTGACAGCATAGACGAGGTGTACATCGCCCGACCTCACACGTCTCCACTCCATCTCAAGGCCTGGGCAGACGAGCTGCGTCACCTGGTCCACCTTCACACTGGCCTCCATGTATCCACTGGCATTGCCCATAACAAATTCTTGGCCAAGATTGCCTCGTCCTTAGCCAAACCCGCCGGCACCGTCGTCATTGCGGGCCCGTGCGTAACCTGCCAGACTGCACCCGCCTGCTGGCCTAATGCGCCCGCTGCGTTCTCATGCCGCGGTCCTCTTTTTGCCTCCAATACAGCGAAGAAGCGCACCGTGCCTTGCAAACGCTCCCTGCCAAGAAGCTGCCCGGCCTTGGTGCCAAGGTGGGTTGCAAATTCTGCCTTGTGAAGCCAATACTTTTTTGCTCCACATGCCCTCCCCCTGTCGCTGCCCAGACTGGCTCAGGCTGCGAGCCAGGCTGGGACAAGCATCGTCCCATACCCTTGACGCCAGCGCTTCTCCGTCCTGGCCACACAGGCCGAATTGCTCGCGCAAGCCCGGGTATACCTCGCACCCGACCTTTTAACTGCAGATCCTGGCCTATTGCGTATGTCCCCTGCCTCCGCACGTCCCTTGGTGATGCCCAACCACGACACACTGGGTTGATCATCTCACTTACCAAACACCCACGCTGTATGCGTCTGCACCATGCTTCTTTCAGGCCAATGTCTCAACTGCACACCTGGTGCCCTTGCCACCTACCGCGACCTAGCGCAAGGTCTCGACCCGCGACCAGTACTCAACAAGGTAATGTCAAACCACGTTCTGCCCGAGTATTAGCCACTTTGGCCTTTGAATTCACTTTGTTGGCCACCGATTTTAGGGGCCTCCTCTAAGCTATGGTGTGCACACAAGCTTCTCCCCGTGGTCCATTCCGCAATTTGACTCTCTCACCGGCCTCCCCACTGGCAAGGTAGCCCGATGACACACAGTATCATCGTTCTGTGTTTTCTTGATGCCTTTTCTTCCCTTTTGATGCCGCCGATCCTTGTGCCATAATGGGGCGATTACCTGCTGCTCAATCAGGCTCGCCTCGTCAAGAAGGTTGGCGTTGATATTTGCGTGTTTGGTCGTGTAATTAGACCATCCAGCCCATCAAGGGCAACGATTTGAGTCCCATCCAACCCATGCTCGACGACATGGCCCACGAACTGCTCGAGCGCATTGCCGAGCACCCCCGTCGCCATCCTCGCACCCTCACTGTCGTGGTCAGGTCAGAGTCTGGCATCAGCTGTATTGAACACACACACACACCATCTGATTGCTTGGTCGCCTGCGCGTGTAGGCGCCCAGACGGGGCAGAAAGTAGCCACAGCGAGCTTTTTCCCCTGACCAGCCCCCGTCTCCAAGCCCTGTTCCAAAGTGCAGCGACACCAAACACCTTTCCAGGTCAGTGTCTCTACCTGGTCCTATCGACCTCAGCCCTACATGCGCTCGCCCTCAAAGCCCGCCTGCGTGCTGCAGCCTCAGAGGTAAAGCTGCTCAGCGAGGTACTACGTCGAGCCGTGGCTGGCCAAGTGCAAGACCATGAAATCGTCAAGCGAGGTTGGTCAGATCCATCTACTTACCTCTCCTCAAGACCAATGCACCATGTCATCCCATGCACCCTCTTGCACCCTCTTGCCGTTGTCATCTGCGTTGCCGGGACGACTCCCACGCTGATATTCTGCAACCGCACAATAGTCTCTGCCACCGTCACCAATTTTGTGGAGCAACAACGAACTACAATGACCACCTTCTTTGCACGCGCACCGCCAACCGCACCGCCGCCCACGCACGAGGAAGACGTTGATGGTCTTTTTGCCGATGCCGCCGATCTCGACGATTGCAGTCCAGACTTGTGGATGGGTCTCTCTTCCCTGTCGAATAACCATGCCCACACTTGATCGACACGTACAGAGGTCAAGCGCCTCGGAACATTTCGAGTGCTCTACCCCAGAGCCAAACTACGTGTATTAACCCGCTCGAGGGATTACGCCGATTGGCAGAGCTAAAAGAAAAATACTAATGGACGAAGAGAATCGACCAGAAAAAAAATTGATAATCAACTCTTCAAGTCAATGATACATTTCATCATTCTCGCGGAACCGTCTCTTGCTTTGCGTGTTAGCTTTCAAAGTCAACAGAATGCTTGAGCTTGAGCTCAGTCCGAGCTCAAAAAGGCCAAGGAGAAACGATTGCGCTCCATCAGGTCACCCAATTGCTGGGACTGAATAGACAAGGCCTTTTGCACATCGCGAATGGCCGGGCGATAGCGTGGTGCGTTGTCGCGCACGTGGCGACCATGATGGTTCAGCAAAGCCAGAGTCCAGTGCAAGTAAAAGTCTAACAGACAAAGCGTCAGCCAATAGATGAGCTAAAACGGGACAAAAGGCGGGGTTGATGCAGGAAGAAAATCATGTCAAGCAAGAGCGCTTTCAAAAACTCGACACAAACCAAGATGGCGGCTTTTCTCCAACTGTCGCGCGAGCAACTCCAGCATGGGCTTGAGATAAAATTGCGACAAATTCTGTGGAAGGAACCCAGCAAGCATGCCAGGGTGAATTCTCAACACAGACATTGCCAGAGATAGACGGTCACGCTCTGCCCCACATCGGTCACCCACCTGGGCCAGGGCAGGAATATCTTCGACTCGGGTGGCCTCAACGGCGGCCCGAATCAATTCGGCATCGTTCAGTCGGAAGGACAGGACTAGGCCGGACAGCACATCTCCGCGGTCCAGGGCTGCGCGCACATTCTCCGGCGTCACATCGATATCCAGATCAAAAGGATCAAAAATTTCACTGCCAAGAATGGCGACGCACACATGAGCACCGACCAGCCTAAAGGCACCCACTGACCAGGCCGAAAGGGCAAGCATGCCTGGCTCGAAGTTTCTCACCTGTCGTCGATCGAAAAGAGAACGAGGCCCTCCGTGGTGGCTGCCACAAAAGAGCGTCCAGAGGGTGCAAAAGACACCGCCTTGCATCGAATCTCAGGCCGTGTGCGGCGACTGCTGAGATCACCCTTCTTTACACCCGGCAGATTGAAGTTGACGCGCTCCTCCAAATCACTGCCCGACTCGTCGTCATCAATCTCCATCAGGTTGCCTGCCTGCAGAAGCACAACCCATGGTCGTGAAATAAAAAAATAAAAAATAAAACACACACACACACACACACACACACATTTCGACACCAATTGCAGCCTCGTCACCGAACCTCGGAATCATATTTGCTGTTGAGACGCTTCAGCATGGCATCCATGCTCAAGTTACTGGACAATGCAAACTGCTTGAGCAGGACCTTGTTGCGCCCGTGATACAGACACACTGCAACAGCATGGAACAACGATCGAGGCGCGATTGAGCCCTCTGCCAACACGACACCATTCACCCAAAGCAGCGAACCAGCGGCCTCCAGCTACAACGCCACGTATGGAACACCCGGGGTTGAGGAGTACTCTGGAGTTTTGACGTACCAAACTTGCTCTGGCCACCGGCCAGGAGGAACTCGCCATCCGGGGTGAAGCAGAGGCTAGAAAAGGTCTTGCCAGCCCGCAGCTGGGTGGATGACACCTTGTCGGCCGTGCTTCGGCCCAAACGCAAGTCACGGCGAATCTCCAGCGTGCCTGTACCCCAAAAGCACAACCACGCAACGCCATCCATTACCGCCCCGAAACCAACATTGACAAAGAAAGACCAGGGCGTTGAACAGCACGCGTGCGCCATGCTGTTGCAGCGAACACGTACCCTTGGAGATGAGTTCAGGAACAGAGAAGAAGGACAGGATACCATTGAGCGTGCTGACGGCGATTTCACTGCCAATGGGGCTCATGGCCAAGGCCACGGCGTCCGAGCCCAGCTCGACCTGCCGGTGAATATTTGAGCAGCACGCAAGAGCCCATGAAGCTGCCGCCGCTCTGGCGACCGAATGTAGACAGAAGAGGTGATCCTAGACTCACAGTCTCGCGCGCGTTTTGGTTGTCATACAAGCTCCACAGCTTGATGCTCTTGTCCCACGACGTTGAGATGAGCGTGGCCTCGGTGGGGTGGAAGGCAAGCGCGCTCACGGGACCTTCGTGGCCACTGATCACGTCCACCAGCTTGCCCGTCTGGAGTGACCACACAAAAATCTCAAACGTCTCCAAACAACCAGCACAGACCAGCTCCCCACTCGCATCGGTGGCTAGTGAGCCAAACTGTGACGATGCAAGACGATGTCCAGATACAAACAAAAAGCATCCATTGGATTGAGATGCATCAAGCGTTGGGTGAGGGTCGTCAGCGGCGAGGCCTCACCTGGCTCGGATGCGGGCTAGTCATGGTTCGGAAGTTACGGTAGCGGGTTGTATCAAAAGCACGGACGGTGCCGTCAAGAGATGCCGACAGGACTGCCAGGCCGCTTTGCACAAAGACCAACCCGGTGACCCCAGCTGCAAAACGTTTGAACGTGCACGACCAAGGTGAGGGCGCCATGCATCATGGCAGAATCGATGTGCATGTCAGCGCGTGTCTACGTACCGAGGTGCTCCTTGAAAGTGACAACGCAAAAACCCGTGGAGGTATTCCACAACTTGACTTTGCCGTCGTCGCCACCAGATGCCATGAGTTGGCCGTTGGGGCTAAAGGCCACGACGTTCGAGTCATAGAAGTGGCCTTGCTGCTTGAGAATGTAAGATTCTGATTGCCACTCCCACACCAACAGTTGCCCAAGCTTGCTGCTGGCCAGAGCCAGCCATTCGCCAGTCGCGTTGACCGCAACCGATGTAATGCGCTTTTGTGACACACTATCCAAAGAAAAGTGGCCCATAAACGTAAGCGCAGCAGGCAAAGCAGGCATCAACCAGAAAGCAAGGAAAGTAACGACGCCGATCAGGGCGCTGACAAGGCTTCAGTGGCAACGGATCTCCAACCTGAGAGAATGAATATTTGAAAATTCAGGCACCTCGTAGAGCGCAAAGACGCCATTGGTAAAGCCCACGGTCAGAATGCTGCTGGGTTTGTGCAGGACTGCACAGGTCACCTTGGCATGGTGTTGCATAAAGTAGTGGCGATCAGCTGCAGAGGTGCGCCAGCGGGGCAGGGCCACAGCCACGGTTTTGGCTTCTTCGTCATTCTCTGAAGAGTCGCCTGCAGAGTCGCCTTCCTCGCTCCCCGATCCCGACTGGTCGGTGCCGCTGTTTGACGGGGATTCAGCGTCAGACTCATGATCGGAGCCTGATCCTGAGTCGGCATCATCCTGTTGCGCATCCTAGAGCAAAGGGAAGAAACAGGAGAGGGGCGGGCACACATTAGACAAGCAAAACTGCTCGGCGCCTCAGCCGGAAAATGCGTTTGACGAACATGTGCCGTTTGTTCATCGAGGTCTGCGGCATCGAGGTCGCTCTCGTCATCCGAGTTCTCGGTCGGACGCATGAGTCGCGCGCGCACAGCACCACCACGAGCATGGAGACGGGCTTTGTAGTTGAAGCGACGAGCAGCTAAGGAAAAGGTGCGAGGACATTTACAATGTCAATGAGGATTAGAACGCGACGACGATGGAACGGGTTGGCCAAAGCTGTCAAGCAGGGAAAGCCCCATGTCGCGGAGCAAAGCGCCAGACAACTCACGAATTTGGACGGTCTCATCAAAGCTGTGCCAGTGCAAAAGGGTACCATCACGCGAGATGGTGTAGACCTGCAGTTGCGAGGAGTAGCGAGACTGGGTCAGGCACGGATGACTAAAGTGGCAACTCCGGGTCGGTGGCGTGCTGTACCCACGTCATGTGACTCGTGTGCAAAGGCACAGTACATGATGCGCTCGCGGTGGGCACCGAGAATGAAGGGCCGAAAGCCAGGGATGGGATCAAGGCTAAAGATTCGTGCTGTGGCGTCTTGGCCACCGGCGACAATGAAGCGCGAGTCATGGCTCCAGTCGAGGCAGCTGACGGGCGTTGTGTGGCCAACGAGGCGGCGATAGAGGCTAAAGGACACAAATTTTTTATCCTGCCCTGGTGTACGCCAGACCTGAACCAGCTTCTGATGGGTCACTGCCAAAAAACTGCGTGCAGAGAGTGGGGGCAACACCAAGGGTCAAAAGATGTCTCAGGCACGGCATGTGTAGGCCAAGTGCTGTGTTGTTCAGGGTGGGCAGCCAGAGCGAGGGATGATGAACACGTACCGGCCGTTGGGACTGAATTTGACATCGTGCACGCGAGCCTTAAAGTTGAATCGTTTGAGGGCGACGCGGCGAGGTAGGTTGCACAACACGGCATAGCCGTCTAGGTCATGAGGCAGCCAGTACAGACCAAAAGGGCGAATGCTGGTGAGATATGACGCTGGATAGAGGTTGTCAGCCCCGGCATGCCATTATGTGAATGCTGTGAGCGTGATGGGCGCAGGCGGGGACGCACCGCGGTCGACGATCAGGAGGAGCAGACCATTGGGCGAAACTGCCATCCGATCAATGTCCGAACGCGTCTCAAAAGGCAAGGTGCGAGTGGCATGGCTGGAATGAAAGAAGACATCGCAAACCATGAGTGGTAGGAAACCCAGTTGCAACCATCAAGCCGAGGTTGCGGCCGGCATTGCAGCGAGCCTTTGAGCCAAAGTACAAAGACCAAGCAGGTACCTACTTGACCAGGTCAAAGTGGGTAACGCGATTGCCCACAGCGGAAAGAAGGGAGTTGCCATCGGGAGTAAAGATGACATTGCCACCCTTGTGCACCGTGCCGCACAAATTGGTAAACTGTTGCCAGTCACATCAGACACATGCAGAGCGCGCCGCCAAAAAAAAAAAGAAAAAAAAAAAAAAAAGGTCAGTCAGAGGCGAAGCAAACCATGGAACACCTGTCTCTGTAGACAAACCCCGACGCCACCCAAACACAAGCCATCCTCCACATCAACAGATTGCATTCATAACCCCCTTTGCCCCCTCTTCAACTCGCCCCATCCCACAACCATCAGTCTCGCTCGTACCTGATAGTCGAGGCTCATCCTGCCGGTCCAGCCCGAAAAATAGCAAGCCACCTCTCTCAAACTCTCTCAAACTCTCTCTAACTCTAACTCTCTCAAACTCTTCTCTCTCTCTCAAACTCTCTCTCAAACTCTTCTCTCAAACTCTTCTGTCTCTCTCTCTTTCTCTCAAACTCTCTCAAACTCTCTCTCAAACTCTCTCTCAAACTCTCTCTCTCTCTCTCTCAAACTCTCTCTCCCACTCTCTCTCTCTCTCTCTCCACACACACACATGCTCGTGCAAGATGACAACACGTGTCTCTTTTGTCTGACTTTTGATGAGGATGCTATTTTTGGTGTGGTTGCTGTGGCTGTTTGTTTTTGGTTGTTCGTGTTCATGTCTCTGCTGTGCCTGTCTGCTCGTGTCCGTGTCTGTCTGAGTGTTCATGTCTGTCTCTGTGACTTTGCCTGTGCCTGTGTCTGTGTCTTTGCCTGTGCCTGTGTGTCTCTGTGTCTGTGTCTGTGCCCGTCTGTGTCTCTCTGTCTCTCTGTCTCTCTATCTCTCTGTTTCTCTATCTCTATCTCTCTGTCTCTCTGTCTGTCTCTCTGGGCCTCATCACATGCATCACAGAGCATTGTCTATAACATCTATTATTCTTCGCTTTGGTGTTCTGACGAGTCGAGCATCGCTTGGCGTACAGGTCAGGTATGCCCCGCTGCTCCGGGTTTGTCATGGAGGATGAGCTCAGCGGGGCGAGGTTTGGCAGGACAGACGTCGCATTGGATCACTTCGGGGTGAAGGGATCGAGGCCAGGCACCATTGGGGCGGACATTGGGGGGGCTGGACTTCCAATCCCAGGAACGCACGGGCGTTTCCCACCCATCGCCATAGTTGGCCCGTAAGTACTGCGCCGTGTCGCAGGGAACTCGAACGGGCACATCGGCAAAGACCGCAGGGCAAAGCGAAAAGGGAGCAAAGTCATAACGGTATTTGTTGCCGGTGCGCGCTTGCGTCCCTCCATTCCAAAAGGTCCCCGTAGTTCGGTCATGATAGAAAAAGAAAATATCGAGCTTTAGAGCACCCTCGGCTGTAGCCAGCTCAAAGGAGAGCTCAAAGCTATCCCCGGGTCGACCGAATCGATGGGAGAGGCGGAGGCCGAGGGCGGACAGCGGGCCCAGCATGCGAGCATCAAAATCTTCGGCAAACATGCCAATGTCCACGTCACCGCTGTAATCCAGAAAATCGCACTGTCGATACCACCCCAGTAAAGTCCCCGACGAGAGCCAAAAGGGAAGCTGTAGACCCCAAAGAACTTGCGCCACCCGGCGCAGCATGTCCGTGGCTAACCGGCGAAAGACATGTCCCGAAGCCTAGCCCTCCACAACAACATGAATCAATGGCCGCGGGATCAGTGGACGCGTGCGTCAACCCAGGCAGCTTGGACGTCGCTGCAGGCGGTGCAACGTACCGTTGCTTGTGCAGGGTTCAGCTTGGGGTGCTGGAGAAAAAAGGCCGCGGCAGCCGTCGCGTTGCAAGTGAGCGCCTGCTCCACAGACCATGCCGTTGATGCCTGTGACCAAGACACCAAGAGGTACCCAGGAGCTGGTGTTCCGGGCAAGGGTACCCACTGCTGGACAGCATTCAAAAAATGGGCCGCTGTCACCGCGGGTGGCGCAGCAGTGTCAAAGAGAATATGTGTGGCGGCCGCGATCACCTGCGCAACCGGCATGGGCTCGACTGGATCCTGTACAAGGGCTTGGACCACCTGCGCTCGCGTCTCATAGGCTGCAAGCCCGCGACAGGCGCTCGGGATGACCACATCGCCGAGGTGCTCGGGTGCGGCTATGAGCGCCTGAGACGGAGGCCAACGAGCTGGGCTCCACCAGTCCGCTAACGAACACACTGGTGCCGCCGCCCAGCCCTGTGTGCCGGGTACAAGAAGGTGCAACCGATTGGCGTGGAACCACTCCTGCTGACAGGTACAATGATCAAGCATCTGCTGGGCCAGCAGTGTCATCTGCCAAATAGCCCCGCCGCTCAACACAATCAGGAGCAGCGCCAGGAGTGCTCGCCATCCGCCCGCGCCTGGCCCGCGCCCACACATGCGCCACCACATTCCGCAATTTGATTTGGAAGAGACCGTCATCTGCTGTTCAACCCATCGCCATCGCTCCCAGGCAGCCGTTTTTGAAGCACATCTCCGCGCTACCTCGTCAAAGTTTTATCGCGTTGCGCTCTCAGGGAGAAAGCAAAGCCAGACGACCAACAAGCCGTGCCTGCATGCTTGAATGAAAATCAGAAAGTGCGAAAGCAGTGAATGTTCTATTTTAATCGTGAATACGGTCACACTT